AAACTGAAATACTAATTCATTTCAACTAAAAACAGGCCGTGGTAAAGCAGTTTGCCTGATTAGTGCTGCTATCTAGCATTGAAACGGACAACTACTTGGTGCGCGGTCGCTACTCGTCATTGTATTACTAGGGACCGCGGCGTCACGGCGGTTAGCGACCGTCGAAGTAGGCCAATGGGTTAAAGAATCACATAAAAGTCATGGAGTTAATCACATCACTGGAGCGGAGAACATAACTCATTTTTAACAATTCACTACACACCACACATAGCAATCAACAGCAAATATACCCATCCAATATATGTGGTGGGCGACACTTAGAGGGTTAAAGGATCAACCATTGATTATATATACTCTCGAAGTGTGTTTATAGTCAATGATTTTATACACTATAATCAGCAATAGTGGAATCATTTTATGAGAAAATTTGACCTAACCCTAACCCCAACAAAATTGCAACACAAGCAATTTTTTTTTAATGATAGCTATGAGTGTCTTTAATAACCCCTCAAAAATCGCCATCAATCGTACCTTGGCAACAAGCCCAAAAATTCAAAATGGCCACCAAGAGGGCTGCCAAAATATATATTTTGGCATATATCTCGAGAACGGTTAGTTTTATCAAAAAACTTTATTTTAACAAATATGTAGCTCGTTTAATGCCAATCAGTTTTTATTTATGCATTTTGTCTGTCAGACGTATGGTATGGCCGCAATTTGAAGAGCCGTACTTCATTAAAATCTGAATTTTTCACAAAAATTCAAAATTTTCATTTTTTGATGACTTAATGATAGAAAATACAAATTGTACGTGAAAACATTATAATTAAAAGTTGTTTGCCGTGTGGTTTCCTACTTATTTTCAGTTTTACTTGGGATTTTATGATCATGAACAATTTTTTTGCACGATTTAAATAATCTCCCATTTTAAGGGATAAGTAAGAAGCCAGAATACGGATGTGTAATAAAAAAAAATATATGTTATTTAAATCATACAATGTTATTCAATACTACAAAATAAAAAGATCCCTATATACAATATGTACAACATGAACATATAAACGTAGTTTTACCATAGTGTTAACATAATTTGGCCAAATGATTCCAAAGTTTAGTCAACATTTTCAAAAATAGATAGTATTTTTCTCATCGTATTTTTCTTTGTCCAATGAAAACTGGAGACTGTTTTCACAATTGTTTTCTAAACAATGACCACAGGAAATAGTGCAGTTGAATCCATTTTTTTTACACACACATCCAATTGAATTACAAGGAGTCTTGCAATTGCATCTAATCATTTTTATTTAACAATGTCTCTGGTGCTGCTGGCAAATCCATCGTTTGGGGCACATACATGTTGTCCTGCAAAGTCCATCCCCAGTCTGTAGTTATCATACTATCTTCTGCCCTTTTCCATATTTGAATTTGTAAATAGGCACGCAGACTATGAAACTTTACTGCTGACTCTGTTGGAGGAAGTTGCTGAGGCTTTACAAAGCTTTTAGCTTTTTTTTTAATTTTGACAAAATACTTTTGTATCTACATGTGCTTATTGATTCGTTCTTATTCCCATTGAACAGACTAACCATCAGTTTCAGACCGATTTCTTCAACTTGATCTGGACTCAGCTTTGGTGAGCTGAAAGATGACAGCAGACCCTGAAAATACTCGTCTTCTAATGTTCTGTTGAATACAGATAGTTTTCCGATGTGAAAAATCCTCGAAGTTGTGTCGCACCCTGTATAGGTGAGCAGAGCTAATAGAGATTTAGCTAAATCTTCTCCAAGATCATGATCTTTATCAGACATATATGTGTCTATAAATGCACACACACTCTTAGCCACCCCTATCTCAGAAGCACATTAATTTCAACTCTACAGTTTTCCCATGTCCGGTATCGGTTTGTAACTAGTTTACTAGGAATTATGTTCATAGTTAACACCAGGTACAGTGGTTTTAAATATTTTGAAGCCCAAAGTACTAAAGCTCTTTAAAGGTTTTAAAAATACATAAGATTATATTTACCATTTATTTTAAAAAGCAGAAATTTGTAAGTGTTCTTTTTTATAATCATACTAGCTGTACCTGCGGGCTTTGCCCCACTTAACTTCATAAGTATTCGCATGGCTCAATCACGTCCTGGTTGAATTTTGTTCGCTACGCTCACTCACCTTCAGGTTGGAAATATAAATTTTGAAGCCTTTGGATCGCATTAATCAGCCAAGAGGTATACGATATTGCCACGTGCAATAAAAAATACTCGGACTCGCCATCAGCAATGCTCGCAATTTAGGAGAAAAATGCGTCGTTGCTGTCAGCGACTCTGTAGCACTAAAGGAAAGAAAGCGACTGTTTAAAAAGTAAAAATAAGTAGGAAACCACATGGCAAACAACTTTTAAATTATTTTGATGTACAATTTGTATTTTCTAACATTAAGTCATCAAAAAATGAAAATTTTGAATTTTTGTGAAAAAGGCAGATTATAATGAAGTACGGCTCTTCAAATTGCGGCCATACCATACGTCTGACAGACAAAATGCATACATAAAAACTGATCGGCATTAAAAGAGCTACATACATATTGCTAAAATAACGTTTTTGATAAAACTAACCGTTCTTGAGATATATGCCAAAATATATATTTTGGCAGCCATCTTGGTGGCCATTTTGAATTTTAGGGCATGTTGCCAAGGTACGATTCATGGTGATTTTTGAGGGCTTATTAAGGGCACTCTTAGCTATCATAAAAAAAAAAATTGCTCTAGTTGCAATTTTGTTGGGGTTCAACACTAAAATGATTCCACTACAAGTTATCAAGCTCTTTAGCTGCTAATGAAATGTACATAAAGCCTATCACGAGTTAGAAAATGTGATTTATACTAGTACCATTAACTATATACACTTTGTATTATATTTGTATATTCAATGCTTATACCATGTGGCCAATCTGGCAACATTGCCCTCGATCTTGACAACATGGCGGCAAGTGATTAGCCTCTATCATTCAACTAGTGTTCTACTAGTTGTTGTTAGTTGTACTATGTCATTCGTTGTGAAATGCAAAGGCACGCAATTTTACATTATATAACTATTACGAATGTGAGCTAAAGAACTTGGAATTATTTATATTGGCAGACTTCAGGGTATTTTAAATAAACTATGATGTGTTACTCTTTACACCCTTCGTCAGTCAAGTTTTGTACCATAATTAACCTCACTTTTCAGAATCGGTAACGAGTACAATGAAGCGAAGTATCGAGTATCGGCGATTCTTCAATACCACTGGTATCGAAGGTATCGAGGTATCGAGAATCGGAATCGGCCCATCCCAAGCCGTGATCATTACTTGCATTTGCAGCAATGCTAGAATTGCAGTAACGTAAGCGTCTCACACAATCTTGGCATATTAATATACAGTGTGATTGAAAAGTCCCGGAATGGTAAAATATATTTTTTATCATTATATATAAAGTAATGAGAGTTGGTATATCAATCAATAATAGCCATAAATGTCTTCTCTTTTAAGCTATTATTACTTTATTCCTTAAGGGGGACAGCCCACGAGGAGTTAGAAAATACTCTTAAATAGCACATTGCCGCAAACCCGAACTCGAACGGACAACCCAGTCAGAAATAGCAGCCGTTTAAATATTTCTTTAATGTGCCATTTTGAACGATCAGCTGTCATTGTTTACTCAGTTGTTCTTTTGAGCTCAAATTTGCGGCATTGTATTTTACTAATAAACACCTTTAATTACATTTTTAAGAGTTGTTAGCCTCCGGATTACGTTTGAATATTTATAATGGTTTAAATACCTGCATTCAGTAATCCAATATGCTGCTTGTGGCAACTATAGTTTCGGTTCACAGGGAACCATCTTCAGGCCGTACAAGGCGTCGTTATTCACTTCCATATATGAAGGTCGTCATTTAATAAATAAGTACATAGAACACGAACACACGAAAACGCACATTGACACGAACATTTAACATTAAAAATACCGAGTACTCGGGAACACGAGACAGGTGACGCGACCGGGTGGAAGTTGTAGCTCGAACTGGTGGTCAGTGGTCTAACGGTATGACGTCAGCCATTGTCTCCTTATCACTGCCGGCTCGCATTCAGTGGAAATAATAAATAAACAGTGGAATCCGTTTGTTGCCGCTCTTCCACTGTTTATGACAAGTCTGGGGTTTACAAATTAAACTGTAGCGATTGCCCAAAATATTACATCGGACAGACTTCACGCTCTTTCAAGAAGAGGTTCAGAGAACATATCCCCAAGAAAACTACAGGCCCACAAACTTCAAATTTCGCAGAGCATTTAATTTCACTCAACCACAACTATGTAAACATAAATAGTAATATGGACGTTTTACATCTTTCCCAAGACCGATCAACCATTAACACTTATGAAGAATTTGAAATATACAAGGCAGTCAAAACAGATGGTCAAAATGTTTTAAATGACAAACTCTCATTCCAATCGAATTCCATTTATAACACCGCAATCAAAATACTGGATGGGGGAGGAGGAGAGAAGGAATGAATGCGAGCCGGCTGGCTGACGTCATACCAGTTGACCACTGACCACCAGTTCGAGCTACAACTTCCACCCGGTCGCGTCACCTGTCTCGTGTTCCCGAGTACTCGGTATTTTTAATGTTAAATGTTCGTGTCAATGTGCGTTTTCGTGTGTTCGTGTTCTATGTACTTATTTATTAAATGACGACCTTCATATATGGAAGTGAATAACGACGCCTTGTACGGCCTGAAGATGGTTCCCTGTGAACCGAAACTATAGTTGCCACAAGCAGCATATTGGATTACTGAATGCAGGTATTTAAACCATTATAAACCTTTAATTAATTTGATGTGCATATCAACTGTGATTTTCTTTCAAATTCTAGCGGGCCCCCTCCTGAGGAGGTAAGTTTAATAATAATAGGATTGCAAATTCAATTAGTCTTTGAACTAAATAATATGTATAATCATTACCTCTTCAGGGATCTCTACATTTCCCCGTCCAATGGCTTCAAACAGCCTGTAGATGTTGTCACCCTCAAACGGGTACTTGCCTGTTGTGATATTGAACCTACAAAATGCACAGTAAACCTGCATAAATGTATACTTTACAACAACTATAATGTTCAATCTGATTTGTTATATAAGTAAGGGGGACCGAGCCTCGCTCGTTGATGGTAAATGGGTTTAATAGTTAAAACAACATTATAAAAAACAAAAAGACACATTTTAGAATTTGTAAAAACCAATTACAAACTATAAACTCCTTGCTGAATTATACGTTGCTGAAGTAATAACAAATCTGTCATTTAAAATTATGCAATAAAACAATATTGAGATGAACATGATTTTATTTAATTGTACGTGCTGTGCTGGTCATACACCATTTCTATCATCTCTAGTCATAGAAACACGTTCATTTTTCACGCCAACAGATGACAGCAGATATAAAATATAAATTTAACAAAACCATATGAGTTTTGAAATGGCTCTCTTTAGTTTTCATAATACAACCCCAAGTCTTCATTTCAAGACAGTATATTTTTGGTGACAATATTTTTGCTCTTTTGCAATATCACTTCTAAAGAAATTGAGATTCTGCTCTTTCATCTTTAGGGGTTGGCATTATAGTTTTATGCTTGGTAATTAAAAATACATGACACAGTTAGTTAATTTAGGCTATTTTGAATATTTTTCTAAAAAAAAACACATTTCTTTCTGTTTCTGCAATTTTTTAGATCCAAAACTCCAAGACTAGGGCTAAGATTTTTAGTTAACAAATGAGTTTTTTCATAAAAATTCAAAGTTTCCTGAGATATGCCTACTGGTCCACCAATAAATTTATTAGTTCCAAACTTCTCTATTCCTAAAATTCCACCCAAATTGTTCCCCAATCTAAGTTAATAATTTTGTTATAAAATCCACAAATAGTAAGACATTGCTCTATCAAGCATGAGCTTATATATAAAATATTATATCTGGGGATTAAGCTCTCTTCGGTGGCAATCATTAGTGTATTCTAAAAGTAGCGTTTGCCTAAACCATCGACCATATTTCAAATTCATCCAAACCATCATTCATTAAGTTAAACCTTTTTGTGGAAAATCCCAAATCAATTTCTTTAGGAAGAATAATATACAAATATGATTCTTTATATAACCAAGCAGTGTGATTTGTTTTCTTTGTGCTAAACCAAATATTTCTTTAAGTAAAATTTAAACTTCAGCATAAGCATAACTCCCTAAAAATTCTCTCATATCATGGATTGCACAAAAATTCTTTTGACAGTTGGTTTATTTAATTTAGATTTGCATAGGATGAATATTCATATTTTAAAGTATTTATTTCACTACTGTACCTATTAACAAAAGATTTTTCCAAAATAAATTATATTTTGATTTGATTTTAAAATATTCAGTGTTTTATCACAGCTGTTTTTGTAGAGTTATCTTCTGTGTAATGTTTGCTCAATAGGTACAACTGAATGTTTTCCATTTTGTACTGTATTAAGTAATCTGCTATTATACTGTCGTGGATGGCTTGTTACAAACATGTGCTAGACATTCACTGTAAAAGCACCGAAACTACAATAATGACTAAATAGGTTTTCCTGTCAAGCAGTTCCAAATGGAACAACAGTGTTACATGTTTCGGCGAGATGCCATTGTTAGACACTTCAGTCCAGGGAATAAATTGTTATTTTCTAAAAGTAACAAAGCTGCTTGGCAAGCTATAAGGCCTATGTTGAAATGTATCATTTAAAATTAAGTAGTGTACCAAAATATCTTCAGATTACGAGTCTTCAGATTACGTTTCTTTCCCCAATCAAGTTTTTACACCTGCAAGTCCCTAATTTATTCTAAACTATAGTCTAAATCCTTCTGCTTGATTTTGAGATAAAATGTACACAAACAGACATTGTTAGGCAGATTGTTTTGTTAGCTCTCTAATAAAAATAATTTACTGTAAGGGATTACTTACATTAAGGTATAATTTTTTAATTATATCTTCACAATCTTGAGTGCATTTAGGTTATGATAAAAGTGAACTCTATAAACATTATCCAAATTAACTTAAAGTTAAAACCACTATGTACAGTATATAGGAAGAGTGACTTACAGTGTCACCCCGCTACTCCACACGTCAACTTTAAAACCAGAAAACTGTTCAGCACCATTGGCGATCTCGGGAGGTTGGAATGCTGGAGACCCTTGACTGGTGTAGCATGTGTCATCAGGAGCAAACATGTCCAAGGCCTGCGGAAACATCAACTGATTACCAGAAAATCTACTCTAAAACCAGCTAGTGCAATTTTAATCTATAAATCAATAATTCGGATGTTAATAATATATATGCATTATCTATCTGGGAATTAGCTATTTCAAATAATAAAATAAACTGTTCAAAATTCAAGTAATCTAAAATAAAATTCTTAGAATAGCAGTGAATGCTCCTTGGTTCGTTAGAAACAAACACATACACTAGGAGCTTGGAATAGAGTCTGTCTCGACCTACATTGAAAAATCCACCTTCGAATTTCTAAATTCTATAGACAATGTTCCTGGAGCAGTGGCATTCAATCTAAGCAAAACAACAGAAAATAGATGATTACGCCGAAGGCTTCCCCAAGACTTCTTGTTGGACGAAGCCTAAAGAAAATTGAACATGTGACCTACATCTGAATTTACTATGTTACAAGGTGTCTCTAGTTTGAGCGAACCCGCAATGTTATTTATGATATTTTCTTTTTTCTATTTTGTTAAAACTTATGTGAATAATGTAATATTGAACCAGAAATAAATTTTGTAAAACCAGTTCCCCAAGGAGACGTTTAATTCAAGCCCATTACTTTGACCCCTTTGTCCTAATAACAGTGCACAACTTTATATTTTTGTATTTTATGACAACTATTAAAAATTTATTTTATTTGGATATAATAATAAGATAGGCCCTAATCAATAATTTTGATAAATGTTGATGCATTGTATGCACAGTTTAAGCCAGGTTTTTTTATTTAGACGGCAGTACTGACCAAGACTTAAAGCTTTGATCAACAGGTTTCTCTTTAGGCAGGAAGATGTGTTACACCAAAAGGTTTACGGTAACCCAGTGACCTTGTGTTTTTGGCTTATCTTTAAGGTTGTTTATAATGAGTTCTAATTGCATAAATATGTTTAAGTGAATGTTTTTTTTTTTTACGTTTATCATAATATACAAAGGAAGTAACCGATTTTACTACCAACATTCTTTTGCATACTACCACACTATCTATCCAATTTTGTGTAAACATTTTCACCCAAGACATTGCTATTTTTCAAAATGTATAGTTTATTTTTAATTTAATTTTGTTTGGATTGTTATCAAGAAAACGATTACATACATACACATTCACGGTAAACTGCCTTTTACGTTAGTGCTCATTTAATTTGATTGTTTTTATGTTTTGAGGTATTTACCTCTGCAACCCCAAAGTCAGATATTTTTAGTACATTGTTGAGAGTCAGCAGCAGGTTGCTGGGCTTGATGTCCTTGTGAATGATCCCCTGACTGTGAAGGTACTCTAACCCGTTGATCAGCTGGCAGAAATATCTGTAGACAAAGTATACTGCTAAATAATAATCCAAATTATAAAATCCATCAACGGCCTTTAGCCTCGTAAATAAAAAAAGAGTGTCAGCCCAAATATAACTCAAAATCTGAGATTTTTACAAACAAGAATCATTGATAGGATGTATTAAGTCCAGTCGTTTGAAAAATATAGGATGTAATCAATGAGCCAATCGATTGCAAATGTTTCTGTGATTTTGTAAAAGTTCGGGAAACTGAGAAATTTTGTTGCACAAAATATTTTATTACATGAGTCCTTTAAAACTTGTGACTCCTTGTTTTAATGCCGAAGATTGGCGAGTTTATAACTGTTTCTCTCAAATTATAAAACACCTTTTGTTTGGATTGCAGTGAATCAATATGTACTTTAATTCTCTGTAATTACTGTGATTCTCCACATGTAAATACTGCATGGTAAAAAAAGTTTCTTTTAAATTAAAATTTATTGGTTTCATTACTACCTGCTAGAGAAAATTGATGGAAGAAGTTACAAGGAGTCTTATTAAATTTAAAAATGTGTAAGTGACAGAGGAGTTTATTTTAAAATTCTATTATGCTCAACTGGAGATTGACCATTAATTTGACCCAAACCAAATGTGACAAGCCCATAAATAAAATCCATACGCAAGTATTGTATATACCTACAGTGCTATGCCTTGCACATAATTAAAAACAATTGTATGATACATTTTTAATAAAATTGCATGTACACTTAAAATATTTTACCACGGAAAATCTTTCTGAAGCCTAATTAGGTGTTTAAATGGATGTGCCATTTACAAATTTCTGTAAAAATGTAATTAATTTGTTGTGAACTATAAAACTGTAAAAAGGCCTATTCAAAAGAGTAAACAAAAATAAGTCGATAGATTTAGAATAGTTGGTGGAAATAAATTTAATAATAAGAATTATTAATAAGTGAGTGAGGTGTCATGTTTATTAGAGGACAGTGTAGATATGAAAACACAAAGAGTGTCAGAGATTAGCCTTATCAAACCTTACCTTTGAAGGACTTGGGTACTGATAAAACACCCGTCTTTTTTATTACAGCTTAGTATCAATAAAAATTGTTGGAATTTAGCAGGAAAAGCTTAAAGAAAGGCAGAAGTCTACACAATATCACAAATCCAAACATCCAAAAATATTTATAATGTTGACTCATATCATGTCTTTTTTTAAATTTTTTGTCATTTTTTGCAAAAGAATTATGTGCATAACAGTTAGTTAAGAATTAAATGTTATGTAAAAATCCTTTATAAATATCCAGCATTTCTTGGTACATGACTGCTTCATTCAACTTATTAAATCGCAAACAAATAGTTAAACCAACAACAACCTATGAACACATGACAAAAATACCTCCACCACAGCAAACCTGTAGACAATGTAAATTTCAGTCAGTACTGTATGATTGGATTTTTACTAAAATATTCCATCGAGTCACAATTAATTATTCCCTATTTAAATAAAATTAGATATGACAAGTACTTAGGATTGCTGCGACAAGGAGGGGGAAAAGTGTTATTTTGTTATCAAATGTTAATAACTTGGGGTAAAAGAAATAAATTTTAAAGATTTGATTAAAATATATCAATAAAAACAAACAAACTACAACAGTTTTATTTTCCTCTACAAGAGTAAAAAAATAATTTTAGATGATCAATTTTTTGAAATTTTTACATATCCTTTTGCACAACAATGCTTCAATATACAAAATAATTGTTGGTTTTGTGAATCTCCACAAATCAGCTGTAGTAATTTTTATGTTTATAGGGTAAAGATTTGGAAAACCCCCCAAATTTGAAAAACTTTCAAATCCTATAATACTCTCATTTGACCCAATGTTGCTGGTTCGCAAACTCATTCAAGTTTATGTTGCTCTACACCTTCATGCCAAATTTTATCATGATCGGACTAAAATTACTCTATTTGTCGTGTTCAAGGATACACACACACACATATCCGATATATGTATATAATTTTTTTATACAAATTTGAACAACAGTGTTTTTGGCCTTTTGGGAAATCAAAATGAAAATGTAAATCGGTTTCAGGTTTAGGTCTTAACGTCCCACCTATGGTAATAGCTACTTCCCTACAAGGAAAATTGCCCAACTAAATCGCCTAGTCTAAAAATGAAAAATAACCTAAATAGGTGACTAATGTTATCTGACTAGACTTTTTCATTAGACATAAGAGTACGTTTTGAGGCCGGAGGGGAAGTCGTACAACTTGGGTCCAAGCATAAAAAGCTTGTCCTCCCTAAATCAAGCCTCACTCTCTCTCTAGGAAAGTGAAGCAGGAGAGTTCCATTGCTCTTTTTGTGTAGAGAAACCTCCTAGTAAGAGAGCCTCTCGAGAAGGTACTGTGGCTCCCGTAAAACAAAACTTTGTACACCATGCAGTACATCATGATCCTGCTAATTATCACAGTTGTTGCTAGTGGATACAGTTGTATCCACCATAGTCATTTCTGCTGCAGCTTTGTATGAAGTGATGTTCAAATATTTCAAAAATAGAAAAATTATCCAAATTGTGGAGTATATGTAATTGAATTATTCCGTGAATGTCTTCTCCAGAGATGCTGTTTCCAGCTCGGAAACTGAAAGGACTGGTGACTGCATAAGGCGCAGTTTAGCAGACTCTGGCAGCCAACTTCTGAGCCTATGCAGCCCTCTCAAGTTTCCTAAAGCTTGTTGTGACGAATGCGTGACATGATCAGAAAAGGTGAGTTTACTAACAAGCACAATGCCGAAAGTCTTTAACTTGTCACATACGATACAACTCTCGCCATTGAGCACAACCATAACACTCACTCCTCTCTCACTGAGATATTGTGGGATGAGTGAAGCTGTTAGTCATCGGCATAAAAATGAACTGTACATTATAAAAACACAGCTTGGAAGATTCGGGGTGTAGAAATTAAACAGAAGATGTCCCAAGCAGCTGTCTTAAGGTATTCCTTGGTTATTTTTAAGTGGGGTTGATGTCTCACTCTGTAAATGTATCCTATCACAGAATAAAGATTTAACCCAGAACTGTCGCTAGAATAAAAAACATTACATTTGAATCTGCTAGTCTACATCAAAATATAGGAGCGCTGAAGTCGCCATAATTATTTAAAGTACAGTATAGATTTTACTTGGACATAGGATCAGCTAACAGCAACGGTATAGTGCTGTCAGTTTCCTCTTTTACTTATGGCCTAGCCTGCTAGCCAGCAACAGCAGTGTTTCTAGATTTATTTATTTACAAATGGATACACCATTTTTACAGGATAAGTTACGAGATTAATCTGTGACAAATACCTAGTTTAGTTCATAAGTACACCTAGTAGTTCTTTGAATTAGATTCTGGTGTAAATACTAGCAGATTCAAACATTGCTTTTTATTGGTTCGAGAGGGTTCTGAATTGAGTCTAATTATGGTTTCATTAATCTTAAAAGTTCTATATGCCAAGTAGGCCAATAAAATGTACTTGTATGTCAGCATGGTTACCGACTCAAACAAAAATAAGCTTTAGTTATCTTGTCAAAATCCCAAAATTATTTCCTATTAGCTATTTAAGTCTTTTTTAAACTTGAATAAGTAATAATGAATTGAATTTAGAAGGCGCACTTACCCATGAGCTTGCCATTCGGGAAATTTCTTCAATGGTGTACTTTCAAGCATATCTTGCAGACCTCCGACACAAAACTCCATTACAATGTACATCTTCTGTTTCTCGTTGTTGTATATCACATCAACAAGTTCAATAATATTTTTGTGCTTCAGTCTTCTCAAAAGCTGTATTTCTCTGAATTCGGAAAGAAAAAAATTAGATTTCCATTAGACTGTGAACAATAGCCTGAGCTAGGCTAATAATAAGAAGGCTACGATTAGGTATAGGTAGTATTTCAGATAGTATAGAGTAGTAGGCCTAGGTGCATTATTTTATTAAAGCACAAGGTTCTAAGTATGTAGGCCTAATTAAAAATGAACAAAATGCAGTATAAAGTAACTGTGTGTAAATTGCATTCAAACATTCGTAGCTAAACCCTCTAAACTCTCTGAACTCTTGATACTCTGATAAAAAATACCCCCGTTGCAGCAAACCTGCCGACTAAGCGAATTTCCATTCACCTGGATTGATTTTCAATTAATCTATCTATATATATAATTCTGTAAGACCAAATTTTTACCAGAAAATTGTGGACGTCTGGTAAGTCGCAGAAAAGTGGGAGAGGTCTTAAATTAAAGGTCTTGACCCCAGGGACTCGGGAAAAATAGCAGAATTCCCATAAAGTTACCAGAAAATGAGATATAGCGTAAAATATCCACCATAAGAAATGCATGGGGACTGAAAAACGTCTGCTCTATCAGCTGTTACTTATTTATTTGCAATGTTGACATTTATTCCGAAAGTCAATGTTGGTAAATAATGTTTCAAAATGAATTGTATTTGTTTAATTTTTTTGTTTTCCGTTTTGATAATGAGTGAAGTAACTAGACGGGGGAAGGGAAGACCTGCAAGACGTGGAAGAGTGTCCAGCATTTTAACAGACTTAAGAAATGTAAAAGAGAACGTCATGTAGGGCCTAACTGTGAAAGAAATCCAGACGCTGTTTTACAACCTGTCTTTAGAAGAACGCTGGAAAATTTGTTGAGTGTTTTTTCACAATTAGGCTAGGTCCTCGTAAAGCACTCGCATGCTTTGTGGCGCATTTCACTTCACAGAGGAGGCCACAAATGGACATTTCAACGCATGTTGCCACAATGGACATGCCACAACCACAAGTAACAAATTTAAAACAGTACATTGATTGTGATAATTAATACGTAACCGGGCATACTACCATATTTTTCTTTTTCTAAACCTAACCCGGACATAAAATCGAAGTTCACACACAATTACGGTAACAGTAACCAAGAGCTTGAATACATTTATTAGTAGCTAAAATGCAGTATTTCGAGTGAAGTAACTAGACAGGGTAGGGGAAGACCTGCAAGACGTGGAAGAGTGTCCAGGAGTTCAACAAACTTAAGTAACGCAAAAGAGAACGTCATGTAGGGCCTAACTGTGAAAAAATCCAGAGGCTGTTTTACAACCTGTCTTTAGAAGAACGCTGGAAAATGAGTTGAGTGTTGTTTTTTTCACAATCTAGGCTAGGTCCTCTTAAAGCACTTGCATGCATTGTGGCGCATTTCACTTCACAGAGGAGGCCACAAATGAACATTTCAACGCATGTTGCCAGTTGCCACAATGGACATGCCACAACCACAAGTAAATAACGAACTAAAAGAACTGTTTTTACATGATTCGAACTTCATAAAAAACATAAGGCAATACAACAGTGCAGTGGTTTTTGCGTCGCTTTCCGCTACACAAAAAGGGATTCCGGGAAATGGGCCTTACTGTCTTAAAATTCAGGGACAAATGCATACATATATTTCTGACTTACTACCGCAAAATGGGGAGTTGCCTTCATAATTAATAATAATTTTAACCTTTACATTTGGTTCTCAAAATGGAAACTATAACAGAATTCGTAAGATTACAAAACAAATCATCATTTTTAAACTAGAAAGGATGTGCAATGTTTGGCTGTTATATTTGATACAAGCCATTCAAATATCTATTTCTTCGGGCTCAGGCCAAACCGTGTGCACGTTTCCATTTGTAAATATGTTGTGTTATTGATTTAATCATTATTTTACAATTGTATTTAATTGACACATTAGAAGCAGCTAATATACGACTCCAACGGTCCAACGGAAGGAAAACCAAGATATAAAACGAGAAACACTGTTAATTTTTAAGTAACATAAAACATAACATAACATATTGATAATTTTAAAAACATATTTCGAATTTTTGTCTTTTTGTATAGGGTTTTTTTATTGTAGTCTGAATTAGGGGCTATGGCCCCTACAGGCCACTAGTTAATTAATATTTATGTTTAACGAGTACCTAGGTTAGCTGCTACAGGGATACTAATAAAGTTTGTTTTTTTATTAAAATATCAATAGCTTAGTATGAAATAAATAAATCAGCCAAGTTTGATCAAAATATATCCATAAAAAGCCAACTACAACATTTTACATTATTCTCCATAAGAGTAACACGGGAATTTTAAATTAACAATTTTTTTAATTTTCTCCGTAACCAATCACCGTACAAAAATACTTATACCTATACTAAATTATTTGTTTTTTAAGCTCTTTAAAAAGTTTGAAGAAAAATTGATAAATTTTGTGTTTGAAGGGTAAAAAATTAGAAAACCCCATTTTTACCCCATAAAACTCCGTTCCCATCATAAAAGTCTGATCATGCTGGTTTGCGAACTCATTCAACTTTATCCCGCCTTACACCTTAAAACCAAATTTATCAAAATCGGACAAAAATTACTCTTTAAAGTTATAGTCTGGACGGACACATATATATGTATATATCTCTATAATATATAGAGATATAGACATAGTATATAAAAATTTGAACGAATGGTGTTTTTGGTCTCTGGGGACATCAAAATGAAAAAGTAAAAAAGTCCCGGGCCTAGGTCTTACCATGAGACCTACAGTAATAACTACTTCCCTATAGGGAAATTCGCTAAAATGAGGTAATTTAGGTCTTAATAAAACTTAGTTTAAAAATGTTTTTAGAATGTTTTATGCGAGTTGTGGGTACTGTAATAAACAATAACCGCCCAACTAACCCTAAAAGCACTTCCTGAAGTGTGAAATTGTGTAAAAAGTGTATAAAATTAAGTTTGGAGGATAATAACTGGAGGAAAAGACATACAAGTCCCAAAAACCAGCCAAAATATAAGCTAATAAAAACTTAACTTAAGCAAAGTTCCTCCAAAACCTCAATATATGTACACCTTTTTCACAATAACACAACCCAGGAATATTGAATTCAGTATTCAAATCCATTAACAACTAATAACAATACAGTACCGTACTTACAAAAAGAAAATCTGCTCGACATACAATTTACTGTGGTCTAAAACAAACCAAAACCAGCACGCACGGAGACATTATGAGCACTGCTTCTTCTTTGGTTTGCCAATTGCGTCACAGTGACTAAAAAAAATACCCCCGCCGCAGCAAACCTGCAGACTAAGCGAATTTCCATTTGCCTGATTGGATTTACATTTAGGCCCTACACTAAAATGTCTCATAAATATCACATTTATTCCCTACTAGCTGTAACCCGCGGGCTTTGCCCCGTTTAACTTCTTAATTGTCAAGATTATCTCGTTCGTATGGCTCAATCACGTCCTGGTTGAAGTTTGTTCGCTACGCTCACTCACCTTTAGGTTGGAGCTCGTTCGCTACGCTCACTCACCTTTAGGTTGGAGCTCGTTCGCTGCGCTCACTTGCCTTCAGGTTAGCTCGTTCGCTACGCTAACTCGCCTCCAGGTTGAAGTTTGTTCGCTACGCTCACTCACCTTTTGGTTGCAAATTAGCTGTTGTCATAAATGTAAAAGAAATAATAGTGCTGCACCTAAGGTAATCCTTGTAACTTTAATGCTATTGAACATCATAGAACAGAACCAACTTGTTTAATTGAAACAGCTGTTAAGATTCAATAATTCCATTTCTCATAAGGTTAACATGGGAAACTCCAGAGCCACTGGGGCGGAGCCCGAAAGGATTTTTGAAATAAGAATATGCCTATATGTTAATCGGGAATGTGAGCTATCATCATGCCAAATTTCAGCCCAATCCGACCAGTATTTTTCGCGTTCACTTGTCACAAACATACATCCAAACTTTCTCATTTATAATATTAATAGGATTAATAGGATTTAAATAACATTTGTTTATAACGAGTGAGTACCTACTTAGGTTTGCTGCAACAGGGAGGGTAAAAAGGTGTTTTATTGTAAAATGTTAATAGTTTAGTTTGAAATGAATGCATTTTCCAAATTTGATCAAAATATGATCATAAACAAGCAAACTACAACAGTTTACTACTTATTCTCCATAAGAATAACATGGGAATTTTAAATTTACAGTTTTTTGGAATTTTCTCCGTAACCATTAGGCGCATAATAACGCTTCAATATACTAAATTATTTGTTTTTTTAAGCTCTACAATCACCATGAAATACCCCGTGTGCTACAAGGATATATCATTCCTTGAGTATCATTACATGAGTAATGATTGAACGGGACTTCTACAAACGCAAAAATAAACTCACAATTCTTGCACTCAACCTGTACATCCGCTATTTTTGCACCACCGATCTAAACAAGAAGCAATTTTTAAAAAAATTACCTAACCTCGTTGTTTAACCCGCTATTCTAATAGCCTGAAAACAGTATGGGTGAGGTATAAATGAACAACCCGATTAACACTATAGGACTAACCTACACTTTACCTTGCTAATTTTACCTTTGAACTTCAAAACACTTAATGCAGCCACGAATATCTGCATTTAAAACCCCAACATAAAAACCTAGAGTGTACGGCCCAGATTTTTACCCCCGGAATTTTACCCCCTGGCCAGATATATAAATTAGTGAGAATGATTTAATTATCTTCTGTTTTAATTTAATAGTAAACATTTTATTATTAAGTAGCCTGTCTTAATTTATTTGTAACATCAACTAATCGAACTGGTTTTTTATTTTCTTTTGAGATTCAAGTATTAGGATTAGATCTTTGAAGACAACTGTTGATTAATATGACGTATAAACAAACATCAGAATGGTAATTGATTCGAAGATTTCTTTAACGATTTATTATACAACCGTGGTAAAACAATGTTTTTCGTTTGAATTGTAACAATCTTACTAATATTATAA